CCAACCCTGCCAATACTGGCTACAAACCGACCAATCTACAAAGCATCCCTGGCTACCTGGGCCTGCGCGCAGGGCCGGGCTTTTCCCCCCTGCCCAGATGACCAGAGCATCGCCTCCCAGGCGCCAGGCTTTTGTCATGCAGACAAGGTGGGAGATCCCCGTCGTGAGGGATTCAACCGCAGCCTCTCAGGCTGGTGGAGACAGATCTGTGGAGAGGGGCACCGACGGGGGCATTTCTGCCACAGCCCAGAGCTATCTGCTTCCCCATCTTGAGGCTCACTGCATCCCAGCCATCCAGAGAGCAGCTAGTTGGAGTGCAGGGTGCCCCAGCAAGTGAGTTTAGCAGCACATGGACATGGAGGAGTAGGCAGCTCCCACATCTTCTCATGTGTCCTGGCACACAGCACACTGCTGTGCTTGGAATTGCTTTTCAGTCACCTTTTTTTTTGTTTTGTTTTGTTTTAGGGTTTTTTTGGTCCTGGGAAATCCTGGTAGCAAATTTTGCCCCAGCACTGCAAATTAGCAGTGCCATACCTGGTTTAATGTGTAACGCATGTGGTTTATGGCACCACAGGAGGTTTGTCTGCCACAAACTGCATGCACCTACAGGTCTGGATCTGGACTCTGTAAGCAGAAAATATCCAAAGCCTCAATGTGTGGTTCTGTAGTGCCCTCCACCTCCTCAGTTGTCCCATCCTCCATATTAGGAGCTGTGCAGGGGTCTGATTTGGCTGGTAGCTGAGCACACTATTCAATGGAAAAACTGTGGCCTAAGGAAACATCTAAGGCTGCAGTATAATCTTTGGAATAGCAAAGACTGGGCCCCTGGGCCGTTCCCATTTGGAGTTTTGGGAGAATATCATTATTTGGGCTCTTACCATCACCCTGAACAATCTCCACACATGTTAATGGGATTTTCCTTACATGCAAAAGGTCTGGGCTGCAATTCTGAATATATCAGCCCGAACGGACTTGGTTTTTGGAGGTAAAGGGTAGGTGAGCGAACAGGTTGTAACCCTGGAAGTGAGAACCCAATATTACCTAGAGGGGTGATCTCTGCACTGAGGTCTGCACAGGTACTGTATGTGGGGAACAGCCAAGACCCTGGTAGTGTTTTCAAGGCATTTACACTCCCTGACAGCTGACAGAATTTACCTTCTCTCCATTTTAGGATTTCATAAGACAAGAATTATATCAATATTATGAAGATCGTAAAGGTGTTCTCTGGTACTACCCATTCTGGATCGGACTGTCGTATGATCCTGGATCCAGGAAGTGGGTCTGGGAAGACAACACAGCTCTCTCCTCTGGCCTGTAAGTCTGTGTCACTAGGATGACCTCACCTCTGCAGCAGCGTACATCACTCTCAGCAGTATGCAGTTCACCATGGAAATGGGAGCTTCAGACTGCACCAAACAAGTGGGGTCTTGAACTTTGCCAGAGACTCATCTGGCAACAGACCCCACCCCCAGCACAGGTCCTAAACAGCCCTCCCATCCCCTTTGGCAAACGCCTGCTTCCCAGTGCTCTTGCACAGCTGTGGTCTGATCAAATACAAGTATTTAAAGGTGTTACGGACCTTTCATCTCAACTCAGCACACACTGACCTACAGTTTGTAAGCCCAGGGGAAATTAGTGTGGGGCGGCCTTGGGAAGCCTGTTAGTGCAACAGCAGAGGGTAGGACTAAAGACATGACACCTCCTCCTCTTACTAACATAACTTCTTTCTCTCTAAAAATGTCTGTTTTAAGATCCATAATCGCTTTGTAAAGGGCAGTCATTTGGGATTGTGCAAGGGTTCACAGCATTTTATCAGTGCTATGGGACATGAGATGCTGGGAAAGGGAAGGTGATATACTGAAGAGACACTTGGTACATGAATTTCTACTATGGATGCTGCCTGCACGCAGGTGATCTGTGGTTTACATATGAGAGTATGCAGGCTTTTCTCTCACTCATTATGGGAATGGGGACCCCTCTGGGAAAATCAACCAGCAGATAAACAAAAAAGTTCAACATGTTTCATTCCAGGAACAATTTCTGGCAGGGTGGGGATTAGGTGAGGAAGGGGTGCAGATGGCCAGAACGTGATTTTTAGTACACCCTGTCTTGTACGGTGTGCCATGGAAGTGCAGGGGTTCTGTGCTGGGAACATCTAGTCTCACCCAATCACTTCTGGCATTGAGCAGAAAAGCATCTCTGACCTTCCTTCTATTAAATCGTTGTTCAGCATTGCCCAGTGTCCGGACAAGCAGAACAGAGAGCCCCCAGCCCTGTGTCTTGGTGTGGTGTGCTCAGGAGGAGAGACATGAACCATAAACTTTGCACTTCTGTTCCAGGTTTGATCTCCAAGACCCCAGTCATCAGAATGATCAGGGCACAGTTTGTGTCTATATCCAAGGTGGGAAAGCTAAGCCTGGAGGCTGTGGAGAAACTCACTTCTGCATCTGTGAGAAGGAAAAAAAAGTAGAGACACATTAATGGGAAAAAAGTGGGAATGCCAGCCTGAGATGCTACGTAAACACAGGAAAACATCATAACTTTCTGCCCCCTCTGGACTTTTGTGTGTGTGCCTGTTTCCTGGATCTCTCTCCCCAGCAATGAAGTTTCCTGTACTGGAGCCAACAGACATGGATAGGGCCCTCCTGCTTACATCCCCAGATCTCATTTTCTTGGTCCTGTATTTTGAGCGTGTGTTGGAAGCACTTGGGAAAAGAGAAAGTCCTAAGAGGCAACAGTGTGTATGGTCATAGGAGCATCACAGGCCCCTAGAAATGAGAGATGGAAATATGCCTGCCATCCTGCAGTGACTGCCCCTACCCAGGCACAGATGCCCCCTGCTCTTTGCAAAGCAGACCCTTCCCCAAGTGCCAGAGCTACAGGAATAGGGTTTCCTTCATTCCTTTGGGGAGACTCCATGTCCTCTATATGTTACAAAAATTATACCTTGCTTCTGGAATAAACTTTTGCCCATTACCCCTGTATCCTTTCTGCATGAATAATAGGGGCAGAGAGGTCAGGAACAGGTGTGTGCAACTGGCAACTTTTGTTTGGACAGTGTTATTTCAGGCTGTGGGCAGCCAGGTCTGGGGGTCACTTCAGGCCAGGAACTCAGAAGCCAGGAGATCTGTCTGGGGAACCAAGTGGAGGGTCCAGAGGGTCAGGCAGAGCACAAGATCAGGAGGCTGGATCAGGTTTCTGGGATGTCGGGCCAATGCCAGGTCAGCTTTTTAGCAGGTGAAGCAGAGACCAAGTTCAGGAGGCCACCTAGGTCACGTATGCAAAGAATCCATCAGTCAGTAGCCGCACAAGCCAAGGGTGCACAATGTAGGAACAAGGCTGAGCTCTGTTGACTAGACATGATCCGTTGCAGGTGAAGCCTTTCTGTGGGAAGGAGTAGGGGTCAGCTGACCTTGGGTGGTTGCTATGGTGGCAGGGAGTATGTGTGTTCCTAGGCCTAGGTGGAGGATGCTTGCAACCTGCCTCTACCACTTTGGTATGGCAGGGAGGTGTCAGCTGGGTTTGCGACACTGCAGTGGTTAGGCTAGAGCTCCTGGTTCAAGGCCTCTGTCTGATGCTACTGACCCCCCTGCCAATGTGCTGCTTCAAGAACCCCTTTGAGGGTGGGCTGATCTAGATTTTAACGAGTGGTCCTTTTAACATTTCTGTACCAAATTAGCTCCCCTGTGTGTTCTTCTTGTCCATACCCTACCAAATCTACTAGGTATTGTAATTTCCCTCATCTCCATCTTGGGCTCTAACGATATCTTTGAGCTAGTATTCTTCCTGCTCGGGCACCATTACGGGTGGTGGAGAAGGTTGGGATGAGTGAGGGAGTGTGCTTTCTGTGGAAGGCTTGAACAGGGACATGTAAAAGCCCAGATGGATTTTCAGTGTTATGAGGAGCTGAATGGATTAATTCTCTGAGTGATATGGAAGGGGCTGATATACCTGTAAGCAGGTGTGATGCATAGGTGGTGCATGCAAGTGCACGTGCACCCCCTGTTTGTGGTGGTGCACCCCCTGCAAAAAGGCATTACTGACACTGTCGGCAGCACCTGCAGGCAGTCACCACTTGCCACCCTGCTACCGGTGTCTGCGGGCAGTCCCTGATCACCCCTGGCCACCACCACCAGCATGCGCCATTCATGCCTGTAAGCCAGTTTCTGTGAGGGCTGGTGAATATGGAGGTGTTGTGTTGACAGCCATACTTCCAGTCCAATCAAGTAATCAAGGCCCCTGCTGCTGCTATTGTTTCACCTGTCATTTGTAAACCTCCTGTGCCTTTTTCAGCTGGTCTTTTAGTACATCTATACTAGGCTTGTCCAACATACAGCCTGCGGGCCGCCATGCGGCCTGCCAAGGCATTTTCTGTAAGCTGCAGTGCTGTGACGGAAAATGAAAGCAAATAAAGTTTACTTTCGTTCCTACCCCTTGTCCCTTCCCCCTGCCCCCAAGCAGCTTCCTAATGGCTGCTGAAGGGCTGGGGAAGGGACAAGGTTCCCACACGCTCCATGTCAGCTTGATGTTGCTGATGCGGTGCGTGCGGGAATAGCAGTAGCCATGTGCCTCTCAGGACAGGATGAGCCCAGCCAGAGCGGCAGGGGGCTCAGCTGCACTTAGGCAGGGGGAAAATGCAGCTGAGCCCCTGCCACTCCGGCCGGGCTCATCCCCACCCGAGCAGCACACGGCTCCGCCGCCACTTCTGCTCACTAGTGCAGACCCGGCCCGCGTCCTCCCATCCCCAGCACCACGTGGGGAAGCCACTGCTTCCCAGCCTGAGAAACTCGCTACTCCCCACCCGCAGGCAAGAGGCAGCCTGGCTTGGTCGCCCAGCCCCGGGTCGCTGGCAGAGGCAGAGCGGCACAGGCATGTGCTTCCTTCCGCTGGGCTGTTGGCATGGGCTACAACGCGCGGGGCAGCCCCAGGCTCGGGTGGAACCTGGGCTCACTGTGCCCCAAGGTGTCACTGGGCCCTGGCCCCAGCCCCGGCTCCAGCTCCCTCCACCCCAGCGCGGCATGGCGATGCGGACCTGCGGAGGAGGCACAGCAGTCGGGCTCGCCCTTGTCATCACGGTTAGTTCTGAAATAGTTAAGGAGCTCCTGGAGGAGCTAGATGGGTGCAAGTCAGCAGTCCTGGATCACCTCCATCTACGGCTGCTGAAACAATTGGCCAGTATCATAGCTGAGCCGCTGGTACAGCTGTGCGAGTACTTGTGGTGCTCCAGCCAGGTCCCTGAGGACTGGAGAAGGGCCAATGTGGTGCCCATTTTTAAGAAAGGGAGCAGGGATGAGGCGGGTAACTTTAGACTAGTTAGTCTTACCTCTATTCCTGGGAAATTGCTAGAGGAAATAATCAAAGCACACATTTGTGCAGGCCCAGCAGGGGAAACAATGCTGAGGGGAAACCAGCACGGGTTTGTCACAGGTAGATCCTGCCTGCCAAACCTTGTAGAATTCTATGACCAGGTCACACACTGCCTGGACATGGGAGCTGAGGCTGGTGTCATCTTCCTGGACTTTAGGAAGGCCTTCAACACAGTTTTGCACCCTATCCTCATTGGGAAGCTAGCAGACTGTGGAGTGGATGCCTACATGGTCAGGTGGGTGGCCAACTGGCTTAGGGACCGCACCCAGAGAGTGGTGGTGGATGGTTCCTTCTCGGCCTGGAGGGAGGTGGGCAGTGGGGTCCCGCAGGGTTCGGTCCTTGGACCGATATTACATAATAAATTCATCAGCGATTTGGACGAGGGCGTGGAGAGCACCCTCTCCAAGTTCGCTGATGATACCAAGTTATGGGTCAAGGTTAGTACACCGGAGGGCAGGGAGCAGGTTCAGGCTGACCTGGACAGGTTGGATCAATGGGCAGAGAGAAATAGGATGCAATTTAATAAAGAAAAATGTAAGGTACTCCACCTGGGAAGGAGGAACCCCCAGCACACCTATAGGTTGGGGAGTGTCCTTCTCAGCAGCTCGGAGGCAGAGAGGGATCTTGGAGTCATAATTGACTCCAAGATGAACATGAGCCGGCAGTGTAATGAGGCCATCAACAAGGCCAATCACACCTTTTCATGCATTAGCAGGTGCATGACTAATAGATCAAAGGAGTTGACACTCTCCCTCTATGCGGCACTGGTCAGGCCGCAGTTGGAGTACCGTGTCCAGTTTTGGGCGCCACACTTCAAGGGGGACGCGGGGAATTTCAAGAGGGTACGGAGGAGGGCCACTCGCATGATTAGTGGCCTTCGTAATAGACCCTATGGGGGGAGGCTGAGAGAGCTTAATCTCTTCAGCCTTCACAAGAGATGGCTGAGGGGAGATCTTGTGGCCACCTATAAATTTATTAGGGGAGGTCAATGGGGAATAGGGGAAGTGCTGTTTACTAAGGCGCCCCAGGGAGTGACTAGGAATAACGGGTGTAAACTAGTTGAGAATGGATTTAGGTTAGATAATAGGAAGACATTTTTCACAGTAAGGGTCCCAGGATCTGGAATGGGCTTCCAAGAGAGGTGGTGCTATCACCTAGCTTGGAGGTCTTTAAGAGGAGGCTAGACAGTCACCTGGCTGGGGTCATCTGACCTCGGTCCTCTTTCCTGCCAGGAGCAGAGGGTCGGACACAATGATCCATTGTGGTCCCTTCTGAGTCTACAATCTATGAATCTATGAATCTGCCTCTGCTGCTTCCTGCCCGGCCGGGGCACCACGGGTAGGGCCAGGCCGGTGCTGGGGTTCGGGTGGGAAGACGGCACCTCCCCTGGGGCAGGGCCGGTGACTGTGGGCTCCCGGCACGTGTGTGTGTGTCGTGGGGTGGGGTCCCTGCCTTTCACAGGGGAGGGAGGCTCAGCTCTGACCCCCGTCTCTTGGGGCCGAAACCTTAAACTCAAAGCCTGGTCTTCCCTCCTGGGAGCCAGCTGTGCCCATGTCCCAGAAGCTGGGTGCTGGAGCATTACAAAGGAAGGCAAAAACCTCCACAGTCCGCTCTAATCTGACCATGGGGTAAAATTCCTTCCTGATCCCAAATTTGCGATCAGTGGGACCCTGAGCAGAGGGGCAAGACCAGGGCTTGGCAGCGTTTTTTGGGCAGTGACAAAAACACCCACAGCCTTGACTTGTAAAATGTTGGCGTGCCAGTGGCAGACAGCGGGGGAGCCACAAGGGGCTCTATCCTTGTTGTGGCAGCACAGCCCTGGCCCTTCACATGGAGTCTGCCCTGAGGCACACGTGCCAAGCAAAATGCCTTTGTGTGCTATGCTCTGGCACTCATGGAAGGGGTTGCCTACCTCTGGACATAACCCTCTAGCCAAAAACCTATGGATTTGGTCGCATAAGGAGCCTTGGCGCGCCCCAGTCAAAGTCCCGAGCCTCGGCTGTAGCCAACACCCGGTACCTCTGAGGAAGACTTAAAAAAACCCTGGAACATATAGCAGAAAGGGGAAAGGTGGTGGTAGGAACAATCAGCAAATCCCTGAATCATAAGAAGTACCCATAGCAGAACATAGGCATAGCTATGCCTAGATCGGGGTAGGCAAAATATGGATTTTAAACCACATTTCCACACCCATTTCATTGTCACTTCCTGCAACTTCATTGGTGTCAAAGGTCATGTGACATCACTTCCTGATGTGACACCACTTCTGGTGAGGTCTTTGAATATGGCTCGCTGGCCCACTGGGTGATAAAAAAGTTTGTGATCCGGCCCCACATTCAAAAAGCTTGGACACTCCTGGTCTAGCCTGAGTATCTGGGTAAATTATCCAAATCACACCTTCTAGTTGTGTTACATCATCTCTGCTTAGAAGGCTTTTCAAATCTATTTAAAATCTGAGTCAT